CCGTAGCTCTTTAGGAAGGCTGAACAAAACGGGCAGCCTTGGGGCTCACCAGGGAGCGACCGGTGCTCTGCTGCTCCTCCTGAGCCAGCGTGAGCCCCCCAAACGGTGCTTGCCTCTCGGCCGAATGATGGATGAGCTATCTGGGAGGTAGGAAGGAACCCTTAGCCATCGAGTTCTATGAAGTTACGTAACTCTTTACTGTGTGTCAACAGATGATGCTCAGTGAACAAACTTCTGACAGGCAGCTCAAAGCTGCTTTTAAAGCTTTCCAAGTGTGGGTAGCTCTGTCTCTGATACGTAAAATGTTACTGTTTAATGAAACAAGACTAGGAAAACCTGCCCTCCCAAAGCCTGGAAAGTCCAGAGTCCAGGGTCCAGGGTCCAGCGTGGGGCTGCTGTGACCTAGAGGTTGAGGTCAAAACCTGAGGTGTCTCCAAGCTGGTTCCCTTCCTTGGGGCCTCACAACTGAACCAGCAAGCAGCAGCACAGGCACCTGCTTCTGCCCACGTCCCGCGTGGCCCAGGAGGAGGGCCTCCCTGCCCATTAAGGGTCCCCCTTGGAGCAGGAAGGCAGAGCCGAGGTGGCAGCCCCTGGCCTGGCAGGTCTGGTGGGCCGTGCAGCAGCAGCTGAGGGGGCCAAGCCTGGTGAGTAGGGGGAGCGGCAGGGCCTGGGCAGACAGGGGCTCAGGCTCCTCTCTGGAGCCCAGTCCCCACAGCTGAGAGAATCAGCAGTCCAGGATGGGCCTGGGGAAGTCGACTGAGCAGCAGGCTGTGCCACGGTCAAGTCAGAAAGACGGGTCTCAGCTCCGCCCTCCTCCATCTGGGCCTCAGTTTCCTCAACTGCAAAGTGCAGACGACAACCCCTGCCCTCAAGCAGGGCGGGGCGGGGCAGGGCAGGGGAGGGGAGACGCGTCCAGCACTGCAGCTCAGTGCCCGTAGGTCAGCAGCACCAGGCGAATGGCAAACATCCCCCCGCTATCATTATCAGAGGATTAGCACATAGGTGCCAATCTGAGAGGGTCTGGAAGGCTGCTCAGAGCCTCAGAGGGGTGAAACGGGGTTCAGAGGCCCAGGGTGCCCAGTGTCTGAGCTGCCCCACAGTGGGCAGCATTGACCCAGAGGCCTGTCCCCACAAAAGGGTCAGTCTGGAGATGGGAAGAGGGTCTGGGCCAGGGATCCCCAGGCTGCCAGAGTAGGTGCTCAGTAAACATGAATCGAGAGAACGAATCCCCCTGCTCCTCCATGCACCGCCTCCCCCACCCGCACGTTCACACTCCCGCCCGCCCGCCCGCCATCAACGGATCTACTCGAGCCACTCGGATGTGCACAACAACTCCTAGCTCGACGGGGAAATTGCTGGGACTGAAGGTCAGTCAGGCCAGCATTCCAGGTTTTGGTGTTTTGCCTTAAAGCAAGGTTCTGCCACCCCCTCCTGGAATCTCCATGAGCCTCCCGAACCTGGAAGAAGGGCTGGCAAACTGCAAACAGAGCAGACTTAGACCCCAGCCCCAGGCCCAGCAGAGTGGCACTTCATCCTTCTCTCCTCACCTCCCGATTCCCAAGGAACCTCCACATCAAATGACCCATCTGCCACCTTGCTGGGGGTTCCTGTCTACAGTCTTTCCCTCTGCCTTAACCAAGAACCCCGAAATGCCTCCAGGTGCTCTCCTCCTCTTGGTCTACAGAGAGAATGACAGTCCCCACGATGGCCAAACCTCCACCCACCCACCCTCACTTTGGGGGCACAGGATGCCCACCAAGCCTGTTGTAGTAAAGAGATGGAGGCCAGTCACAGAAGGTGACAGCAGGACAGGCGGGACTTGCCCCAGGTCCTCTGACCAGCTCCTTGCTCCTTCCACACGTGCCGACCAGGTCTCACGGCTGGCGTAACTGGCCTGGAATGCTGTCGGCGCTGCAGCTCTGGGCACGGCGGGCACTGCGACCTTTACATCCACTTCATCTGGAGCTCGTCCCAGCTCTTTCCCAAGCCCAAGACCTCCCCACCCCTCTCCAAATCCCTTCCTTTTGTTTGCTAAAGGGTTTAGTTCCTAAAGTTAGAGCCACGTTCTCCCTAACTCAGACCTCCTCCTGGGATGACGAGCATCCATGCTGAGGAGAATGGGGTGGCCCCAGGGCCACAGGAGAGCAAGGAAGCGCTCCCAGGTACTTGCTGTGTGCCTGAGTGGTGTTAGGCAAGAGAGAAGATCCTGATCGAGGGTGGACCCTTCCTTTTAAGGGCTGCACATTTTCCAAGATGCTTACGGAGCCACCTCAGAACCCAGGTGAGAATGGCCACGACGCTAAACGCGAGGTGGCCCCCTGACAACCTTGCTGGGAGCCTCCAGGGAGCTCAGTCAGCCAGTGACGCGATGCTGGGGCCGCTGGCTGTAATGCACAGGGACAAGGTGAGTACTTCATGCAAGTTCTCAATTTAAAAAGGTATCACCCTCCAGAAACTGTAGAGAAAAGCCTTCTGCTACCCATGTGCTTCCCCATACATGTCACTTCTGTCACATTTCAAGTGTTTGGGAGAAACCCCTTAGGGCCCAGCCAGCGATGCAGGCTGCCCACACTTGAGCTGTCAGAGACCTGGTCCCACTCCTCATTCAGCGACTACACAGCATGTGGCAGTGTGAGTGACCTTACCTCTCTACAAGGACAATGTACATCACCGAAAAAGGGACGAGAGCAGAGCTCTTGGAAAAGCTAAAAGCCCCCACGTGGGCCCTCAAACTCCACGCCCTGTCCTTACCCAATAACCAACCCTGAGAGCCAAGGCTCACTCTCCCCAGTGCGGCCAGCACATAACTGACTCATCAGGCACTGGGTCCTCCTTGTGGAAGGATCACTGCGGATCCCACATGGGGCAGGCATCCACACCCAGCCCACCCAGGAACCCTCGTCCTCAGCTGTACCCGGCACTGTCCCCTCCAGGGGGTGCTCCCTGACCTCCCATGGAGGCAGCTTCTCTCCAGCCAAGCTCCTTTACTCGCTCTGGGCAAACGGCACGCACAGCCCCTGCATGTGGCCGTCCAGTCCCGCTGACTCCTTAGTGCGCTGGGAGCTCCCAGGGCCTGGGGCCTTCCTGAACATAGGGCCTATGCACAGGGGTGCCAGATATAGACCGAATCAGAGGATGACTAGGGGCGGGGGGTAGGAAGGAAGACCAGGGGAGAGTGGAGGGGAAAGGGAAGAGGAGGACAGAGGAGAGAGGAAATGACCTCCTCCCCGCACAGGTTTCGAGAGAGGGGTGGGAAGGAGACGAGAAGGGGTCTTGGGTCTTGGCAATGAGCAACAGCCCCAACCCCACCTGGCCTGGACTTGGGAGCAGGAAGGGCCAGCTTTGTCTGCTGCCACCTGGTGGAGGCCTGGAGGCATACAGCTCTCAACACCAAGTGGACCTGGGCCTATGGGCAGAACCGGGCGGGGGGGCCAGGCGTGACCCCCAGGGCACACTGAATCCAACCACTGCCTCCACCTTCCAGAGGGGGTGGGGCTGCCAACTCCCAACACCCAAAGGCTGTCAGCTTCTCTCCACCTGCCTGCTGATGCTCCCAAAAGACCAGAGAAGAGTGACCAGCTGGCCAGGCCCAGAAAGGCCTGGCTGCTACCTCCCTAGGCTTGGATCCTCCCCAAGACAGCAGCTCAGGCCCAGGTGGGGCCCTCATGGGAGTTAAATGGGGCCTGTTGAGCAGGACAGGGTGCAGAAGGCATGCAGGAAAGGACCAGACGGCCAGAAACACACAGCCCTGCTCCACAAACCCCAGAGAGCAAGAGTCACAGGCCCCTGGTCCCAGGACAGCTTTGCAGGGAGGGCCGGGGCCTCAGTTCCAGCAGCTGGGAAGATGAGCATAGCCAGAGTCTAAAGCACTGAGAGTGGGCCCCGGGGGTAACCCCCAGCCATCAGACAGAGGATTTGAGGGAGCAGGAGCTCTGGGCAGGGGTCTCTATCCCAATGAAGATCTGGGGTCATTGTCGCCTGAGGGGAGGACAGGAAGCCAGCAAAAAGGGCTGGCCTGCTTCTGGAGGGCCCATGTCCAGGAGAAAACAGGGCAGGGACAGGAGCCCCAACGTGGATGGGGTGAAGGCGGCTACTAGGGCCGGGGAGCAGCTCCTCACCCTTCCTCTGCCCGGTACCTCCTGCCCTGTGTTGGGACCGGCCGTGTGAGCTTCCACGGCAATGATCACAACAGAGGAGCAGACAGTCATGGTGGCGAAGCTGGCTGAGCCTGTGGCATCTCCACCTCCCTGAATTCTCCCCTGACTCTAGGAGGTACACAGGAAGGCTGGGTGACCACCTGCTGCACTGCTGACCACGGAAACGGGAGAAGTCAGGGACTTTCTCTGTTGACACTGGGACAGTCTTGGGCAGGCCGGACGAGTTGGTCCCCCTGCAGGCAGGACTCAAGAAGGGGAAGACAGGGAGGAGAGAGGAAGCCGGTGCCAGTCTGCCAGAAGCCTTTGCCCTTGCGAGGTGGGGGAGGGCTGAGCCCGTGCTGTGAGCCTCAGGGCTGTGGGCCAGATGTGCAGGCCCCACAAGATAAGGGAGGGCGACCATGCTGGTCCATCAGTTCTGAGGTCACTGACGGCCCCTCATCACCCGACATACAAGAAACCCAAACATATGGCACTGGAGGTGCCACAACTGTCAGCCTCATAATGAACTGATTAGCGTGCATATGGCGCACAGACAGGAGGAATCTCTCACTGTAAAAAATGCCAGGGACGACTGAAGGTGTCAAAGAGGCTTCCCTGCAAATCTCTCTTCATTAATGCTTCATAGGGAACCAAAAGTGTTGTAATGAAATGGCTATTAGTGCACCTATATTTATGATGATTTGCTTGGTGCAGCATGGAGTTGACATCTAAGATCAGGACTGAAGGTCTGCGTGCAGCAGCACCTATCGCAGCCCCTGTGGGCCCCCTTTCCTGGCCACGGGACCGGAGCACGAAGCCGCGTGGTGAAGGCGGGCAGGCAGGTGGACAGCCGGCTGCACTCACCTCCATCTCCGAGCTGTGGGCGTGCACCTTCTGCACCATGTCCTCCGCCTCGCGCATGCGCCGCGTCAGTTGGGGCGAGTACTCGGCCGGGGTCAGCTCACTATCGTAGGACCCCAGGATGGCACGCATGCCATCCCGCTCCTGTGGACACAGAGGACAGGTGGTGAGGCCCAGGGTGGTGACGTGACACCAGAGAAACGCATGTGAGGGAAGACGCCACACAGAGACAGGAGCAGGAGTGTGGGCTTGGGATCAAGTTCAAGTGGCATGCCAGCAGGTAGGGGGTCCCTCACATGGCTCCTCAAAGAGCTGAGGCTGAACGCTTAGCAGCATCTAATTTACGATGTCAACAGAGCCCAGTGAGACCAAGACAAGGCCTCAGCTGCTCTGGAGTAGCAGCCCGAGCACGGCCAATGCCCAGCGAGCCTGCGGCCCCATCTTTGGTCTGGGCGCTCTCCCTGACCACTGGTCTCAAGCTACAGCAGTTGTAGAGACCTGCAATGGTCACAGAACCCACAGACCAGCGGCGTGTGCACCCCTCCCTGAGTCTGCTGTGTCCCCCATGTCCTGGGTCAATATAATTCTTGAGTTCCATCAAACAGGCCCAGGAAAACATCAATGGGATGAGGCCAGGAAGTAGGTTTGAGGAAAGATCCATCTAAGCTCCCTGAAAGGTCCCAGGATCCCCATTGAAACAGCTCTGGCCTCAACAAGCTCCTCGTCTTCTCACAGAGCTCATGGAACCCTGAGCCCCAACCCTAGGCTGCAGCATGTCACCCAGCACCAGCCACATCGGCACCCTTCCTCCGTGTTTTGGGCAAAAGCTGGTGCCGGGTAACAGTGCAGCTCAGGTTTTGTGGGATGACACACTGACCACACAGCGTCAGGACAAAGTCTTGGAGCCATACAGAATCACTGCTCAGGGGTGCCCTGCTAGAAAGGCTTATTAAGGCTGACAGCGTGAGCCAGGAAGTCAGGGGCCCTAGGAGAGATGGGTGGCTCCTCCTGAGCCAGGACTGGAAGATCCCTTCCTAAGATGCTCACCAAGGGAGAAAGTTCTCCACAAGGCCAGCAGGAAGAAGGCCTGTAGAGACCAAGGTGTCCCTGGGTCCAGGAACTAAGCTGCTCTGACAGGCCTGCATAAAAGGCACCCAGCACCAGGAAAGGAGCCTCTGACTCCCCAAGGGCTGCCCACCACCATTTCTCCCTACCCCAACTGTGGGCCTAAAACCACAGGACTGGACTCTTCCAGCCCCAGACCCCGAGTATGGACGGAGGAGACCTTGTCCCTAACAGATCCCAGGAGTGAGCTGGAGGCCAGCACCTGCCCTCCTCCTGCCCCACACTCCTCCCACCTACTGTCACGGACAGACACCCACCATGAGCTGCACAGTAGAGAAGATTCACCCCCACAGAAAGCCCAGGTTTCCTAGAGCACCGCTTCTCACACCCCCGTGCATAGGAACATCCTGGGGGGCTTGTTAAATGTTGACTTGGATTCAGCAGGTCTGGGGGGGCAGGCCTGAGAGTCTGCATTTCTAAAAGGCGCCCAGAGACGTCAATGCTTCTGGTGTGTGGGCCACACTGGGGAGCAAGATACAGAGCTCAGTGACCTGTGCCTGGGGACAGCATGGCCCAGGAAGAAGAGGGTCAGCTGAGGCCAGTGCTCTCATCCCAGAGCCTTCGTTCCCTGATGAACGAGGTGGGTAATCAGCCGATCTCAAAGGACGGCTGTGAGGATCAATACCATTATGGATGAAGCATCTGGCGCACACAATAATCCAACGACAGCAGAACGATCTTATCCACATCAGCAAACGCACCTCCAGTATTCACGGCACATCCCTTTCCAGCACACACATTCTGGGACAGCTGCTGGAGAAAGGTCAGTCCAGCCCTGGCACAGCCTCACTTTGCGACCCGGCTAGGTGCCCCCTCCCAGCTCCCAGCTCCACAGGACAGGGCATCCAGGTGAGCTGCAGGGTCAGCCCGCACCAGCACTGGCTCAAAGGCAAATTCATGGACCTGAAACAGACAGGGGGAGCGAGACCCCAGGGAACGCCCCTCAGGTGTTGGGGACAAGGTCCTCCTCCACTTGGCGTTCTTTTGCTTGGTGCTTCCATGAGCTGAGGCCTGACTATGCCACGTGGAGAGACCGTCCCAACTGCCCCGCTACCCGAGCATCGACACCATCCACCCACCCCCACCCAGGCCCTTCCTTCTCAGGTGAGACTGAAGGAAGACCGGGGAGGGTGGGCTTCCACGACCCTCTGCGTCCTCCCCAGAGAGCCGATCGGGCCCTCGGCCGCTGTGCTTGGTACTTCCCGTGCTCACAAGCCTGACTCGGCCATCGCCCCAGCATGGACTTCATAATTAGCTGATGACAAAAAATTCAATAACTGAGAAATTAAAGTTACAAATCCAACTGGAACTGGTCACATATCCGTGGAAAAATTTGTTTCCACAGGAAGGTTTATCGAGTGTCATAATTTTATTGAAATCCTATATCTTCCCATTGACTTTTATGGTTCCGAGCTGGTTACCAGAGTTATCATCACCAGAGCACCGATGCCACACAAGGGCGGGGAGGGGGACTTCCTTTCACAAACAAGCTGTAATTGTTTCCTTTATTGACCAATAAATCTCCAAAATGCTGCCTTTCACCACGGTTCTCTTCCATCACATCTCCAGGCTAGCAACACTGGCAAAGAGGAAAATGTAAAATTGAAAGTTTGTTGTTTGTACCTTTTAAAGAAATTGTTTTGTCATTAGTAGTAAAACAGCGAGGACTGTGCTGGTTTGATTTGAAAACGACTTTTTAATGACTGATTCCACTTGCAGTAAAGTTCGTTTCATTTCCACTTGAGCAAATGCCGGCGATTAATCGCTGCGTGAACAGGCGCCCAGCCTGTGCACAGAAGCCCCACACAAGGCGAGTGTCCACTGAGCGCCTCTCCTCGGTGCAGAACAGTCCTCTCTACAGGCAATCACACTTGCTTGTCACGTAATTAACGGCAACAGGAAGAGCATGGAAACAATGTCTCATGTACGAATAAGTGAACCAAGGACTGTGGGGCAGGGGTGGGGCGGCCGACGGAAGGGCCCCCCGACCACAGGCCTGGCCACATGGGGCTGCACACCCAGAGGAGTGCAGAAGAGCCGAGGGCCACACTCAGACCCTGCTCCACATGCACCAGCCCCAGCCTCGGTCTGCAAATGAGACAGCCCCACTCTCCCCACAGCTGAAGCATTTAGGGTAACATTTACTGACCCTCCGGCACACAGGCCTCAAGGAGATGGACCAGATGGAGAAAGTCCCACTCTGCCCTGCAGACGGAGCCTCCTGGCTGGCGCTGGACAGGCCCAGTTGGGCGGCAGAGCATCTGTACACATCCTACGGACCAGCGCCCAGTGTACCCATCGCTCCCGGTCCCCGGGCCACCAGCTGCACACAGGGGGTTCAAGACAACGCCCGACTTGGGGACGAGGGTAGGGCCACTCCCTGGAGTAGGCAGCAGGGAGTCCAGCCTTGGGCCTCTCCGGATGGGCCGACAGGATGCCAAGACACACAGTTCAAGACACTCTCTCTTCCTGTCAGTCCTCCTGCCCCACCTCCTGAGCAGCTCTAAGCTCTGCAGGCTTGTAGGTGCGATCGGGCCAGTACCAAGGACAGGATAGGCTCTTCTGGAAGCTTGAATATACTCTGTAAGAGCCCAGAACCTGAGGATGGCAGAGAAGAAAGAGATTTTGGCAAATAAATGCTTTCTTCTTTTATGGAAATCAGGGAGTGGAGTGCCTCAGTGGTGCTGGGAAGTGGTGGGGAAAGAGACAACATAAAAAGCTGGGAAAGAGTCAAGATCAAGTCCAGGCCACAGCTTTCTGGAAAGGAAACTAAGGTGCAGAGGTGCACAGTCGCTTGTCTGAAGCGCCATAGGGAGGATGGGTACTGGCCGGCCAATGACCAGGAAGAGGGCAAACCCTGCAGCCCCAGGCCCACCTGGGCAGCACGAGCATGGACTCCGTGGGCAAGCGGATGACTGTCCCTGAACACACACATGCACAGCAACAAACAGGACGAGGCAGGAACCGTGCCCACTCCAGCTCCCCCAGATCCAGGGGGTGTGTGGGTGCTGAGTCCTGGCAGGGAGAAGGCTGGGCTCAGGGAGTCGGGGGAGGCCAGAAGGGGGCACCAAGGCTGATGACAGCCCAGGGACACAGAGGCGGTGCGGTGCAGTCTGATCAAGGACCCCCTCACATCTAACCCATCAGCAAACACTGCCAATTACATCCACAGGGAACATGCCTCGCCCCAACTCCCCACGCAGCAATCACCTGGGTGGGACTGGTCAGAAGCACAGGCTCCGGGGCCCACCCAGGCCTGCAGCTCCCATGATGATTGATTTGGGAAGCCCTGTCCTCAACAACAGCAAAGGACACCCTGCCTCCCGTCTGTCCCTCAAAGATGCTGAGCCCACCCTGGCCTCAGAGCCTCAGTTTGACTGACCCCTTGGTGTGGAAACTTCTTCCCCGGAACAGGTCTGGTTCTTCTCCGCCTTCAGGTCCAGCCCCACCAGCCATACTACCCAGCACACCTCACTGCACACACCCCTGCTTGTCTGCATCTTGGTCTTCTCTTCTGCAACTCCAGCCCCAGGAGGGAGGAACCTGGACGTCTTACTCACGACTCGTCTCCCAGGCCTGACATAGCTCTAGGTTGACAGGGGGACTCAGTGATGGGGGCAGGGGGATTTTCTCCTGTATCAGGCTATAAGCTCTTGAAAGGCTGTGACTTATAGGCAGGGAGGGAGGATCCTCCTGCACATGTGGTTTGATGTCAGCCCTTTCTGCAGCCATGGGAAAAGGTTCATGTAACTCCAGAATCCGATGGCTCTGGGTGAAGAGGCAAAGCTGTGGACAGGGAGAACAATGTTCTAGAACTATAAAGAGGATGAGAAAACCCAGATGGGTAACAGAATAAATTGAAGAGGCAAGAACACAGAAAGATGGAGGCTTCTAGCTAAAAGTGTGTATGTGTGTGTGTGAATGTGCATGTGCATGAGTATGTGCATGTGTGCACGTGTGTGTAATAACTTCACCACACCAAGTTCTCGATATTCCTGCTCACTAGAAGGTGGCAGGCA